TTGACTTTTTAAAATTTGTTGAGACTTGTTTTGTGCCCTAACATAATATGGTCAATCTTTGACAATGTTCCATGTGCTGATGAAAAGAATACATATTCTGCAGTTGTTGGGTAGAATGTTCTGTAAATGTCTGTTAGGTCCATTTGCTTAAAGTCAGGTTTCAGTCCAATGCTATTGTATCAATCCATTCTCACAGTGCTATGAAGAAATACCTGAGACTGGGTAATTTATAAAGAAAAGAGGTTTAATTGACTAACAGTTCTGCATGGCTGGGGAGACCTCAGGAAACTTACTATCAAGGCGGAAGGCACCTCTTCAAAGGGTGGCAAGAGAGAGAATGAGAGCAGGGCAAAGAGAGAAAAGCCCCTTATTAAACCACCCCCCAACCCATGATTCCATTACCTCCACAAGATCCCTCCCATGATATATGGGAATTATGAGAACTATAATTCAAGATGAGATTTGGGTGAGGACACAGCCAAAGTATATCATTTGGCCCCTGGCCCCTCCCAAATCTCATGCTCTTACATTTCAAAACAGAATCATGCCTTTCCAACAGTCCCCCAAAGTCTTAACTCATTCCAGCATTAACCCAAAAGTTCAAGTTCAAAGTCTTATTTGAGACAAGGCAAGTTCCTTATGCCTATGAGCTTATAAAATCAAAAGCAAGTTAGTTACTTCCAAGATACAATGGGAGTACAGGCATTGGGTAAATACACCTGCCCCAAATGGGAGAAATTGGCCAAAACAACTGTGCTACAGGCCCCAAGTAGGTCTGAAATCCAACAGGGCAGTCATTAAACCTTAAAGTTCCAAGATGATCTTCTTTGAGTCCATGTCTCATATCCATGGTGTGCTGATGCAAGAGGTGGGCTCCCATGGCCTTGGGAAGCTCCACCCCTGTGGCTTTGCAGGGTAAAGCTCCCTTCTTGGCTGCTTTCATGGGCTGGCATTGAGTGTATGCAGCTTTTCCATGTGCACAGTGCAAGCTGTTTGTGGATCTACCATTCTAGGATCTGGAGGACAGTGGCCCTCTTCTCACAGTTCCACCAGGCAGTGCCCCAATGGGGACTCTGTGTGGGCTCCGACCTCACATTTCCCTTCTGCACTACCCTAGTAGAGGTTCTCCATGGGGGCCCTGAACCTGCTGCAAACTTCTGCCTGGACATCCAGGTGCATCCTCTGCAATCTAGGTGGAGTTTCCCAAACTTCAATTCTTGACTTCTGTGGACCCACAGGCTCAACACCACATGTAAGCCACCAAGGCTTGGAGTTTGCACCCTATGAAGCAATGGCCTGTACTGTACATTGGCCCCTTTGAACCAGGGCTGGAGTTGAAGCAGCTGGGACACAGGGCACCATGTCCCGAGGCTACATAGAGCAGGGGAGCCCTGGGTCTGGGAAACCATTTTTCCCTTCTACACCTCCAGGATTGTGATGGGAGGTTGCTGTGAAGGTCTCTGACATACCCTAGAGACATTTTCCCCATTGTCTTGGTGATTAACATTTAGCTTCTCATTACTTATGCAAATTTCTGCAGCCAGCTTGAATTTCTCCCCAGAAAAATGGGGTTTGCTTTCTGTTGTGTCATCAGGCTGCAAATTTTCCAAACTTTTATGATCTACTTCCTCTTGAATGCTTTGCTGCTTAGAAATTTCTTCCGCCAGATACCGTAAATTATCTCTCTCAAGTTCAAAGTTCCACAGATCTTTAGGGAAGAGGCAAAATGCTGCTAGTCTCTTTGTATAGTAAGAGTGACCTTTACTCTAGTTTTCAACAAGTTCCTCATCTCCATCTTAGACCACCTTAGCCTAGACTTCGTTGTCCATATCACTATCAGCATTTTGGTCAAAGCTATTCAACAAGTCTTTAGGAAGTTCCAAACTTTCCAACATCCTCCTGTCTTCTGAGCCCTCCAAATGGTTCCAACCTCTGCCTGTTACCCAGTTCCAAAGTTACTTCCACATTTTTGGGTATCTTTATAGCAGTGCCTTACTCTCTGTAGTACCAATTTACTGTATTAGGCTGGGAGCAGTGGTTCATGACTGTAATCCCAGTAATTTGGGAAGCAGAGGTGGATGGATCACTTGAGCCCAGGAGTTTGAGACTAGCCTGGCCAACATGGTGAAAATACAAAATACAAAAATTAGCTGGGCGTGGTGGCACGCACCTGTAATTCCAGGTACTCGGGAGGCTGAGGCAGGACAATCACTTGAACCCAGGAGGTGGGGGTTGCAGTGAGCTGAGATTGTGCCACTGCACTCCAGCCTGGGTGACAGAATGAGACTTTGCCTCAAAAAAAAATCACTATATTAGTCTGTTCTTATGCTGCTATGAAGAAATACCTGAGACTGGGTAATTTATTAAGAAAAGAAGTTTAATTGATTCACAGTTCTGCATGGCTGAGGAGGCCTCAGAAAACTTACAATCATGGTGGAAGGCATCTCTTCATAGGGTGGCAGGAGAGAGAATGAGAGCTGAGCAAAGTGGGGAAAAGCCCCTTATTAAACCATCACCCCCCATGATTCAATTACCTCCCACTGCATCCCTCCCACAACATGTGGGGATTATGGGAACTACAATTCAAGATGAGATTTGGGTGGGGACACAGTCAAATGATATCAGTTACTTTGTTTATTTTCTGTCTAGATAATTTGCCTAATGCTTTCAGTGGGGTGTTGAAGCCCCTCACTATTATTGTATTGTAGTCTACCTCTGTCTTTAGACATAGTAATTTTTTTTTAATGAATCTGGTTGTTCCAGTGCTGGGTGTATATATATTTACAATTGTTATATTCTCTTACTGAATTGATCCCTTTATCATTATAAAATAAACTTGTTTGTTGTTGTTTTTTACTGTTTTTGACTTAAAGTCTGTTTTACCTAATATAATTATAGCTATTTCTGCTTGCTTTTGGTTTCTGTTGGCATGGAATATCTTTTTCTACCTCTTTACTTTCAGTCAATATGTTTTTACAGGTAAGGTGAGTTTCTTATTAGCAGCATTTAGTTGAATCATTTTGTTTTTTTTTTAAAGAAATCCATTCAGTCAGTCTATAGCTTTTATGTTGAACATTTAATCCATATATGTTTAAAGTTATTATTGATATGTAGAGTTTTGTTCCTTTTGTCATATTGTTAATTGCTTTCTGGTTATTTTATACATTATTTGTTTCTTTTTCTCTTACTGTTTGTCACTGTGGATTGGTGGAATTCTGTAGTGGTGCTATTTGATTCATTTCTGTTCCTCCTTTGTGTGATCGCTTTAACAGTGAATTTCATACTTTCATGTGTTTTCATGATGCTAAATGCCATCTTTTTGCTTCCAAGTTTAGGATTTCCTCAAAGACTTCTTGTAGGGTCAGCCTCGTACAGACAAATGCCCTCAACATTTGCTTGTTTGGGAAATACTTTATTTCTCCTTCATTTATGAAGGCTAATTTTGCTGGATATAGAATTCTTGGCTGATGGTTGTTTTCTTCCAGCTCTTTGAATTTTCATCCCATTCTCTCCTGGCCTGTCAGCTTTCTGCTGAGAATTATGGTTATTAGTCTGATTGGGTTTCCCTCACAGTTGATGAGATGTTTTTCTCTTGCTGTTTTTAGAATTCACTCTTTGACTTTAGATAGTTTGATTCTAATGTGCTGTGGTGAAAACTTTTTTTTTTTGCATTGTATTTGTTTGGGGAATCACTGCACCTCCTATATCTAGATGCTTAAATCTCTTGCTAAACTTGCGATGCCTTCATCTATTATTGCATTAAACAGGTTTTCTAAGCCTTCTGATCTTTTTGTCCTTGGGGATACCAATAATTCAAATATTCAGCTGATTTATGTTGTCCCAAATGTCTTAAAGGCTTTGTTTATTCTTTTTTATTTTTGTCTTACTGGATTGTTTCAGACATGTAATCAAGTTCTAAAAATTTTTTGTTCTACCTAGTCTAGTCTATTATTAAAGCTTTTGAATGTATTTTATATTTCCTTCAATAAATTCTTCAATTCCAGAACTTATGTTAGGGTTTTTTAAAAAATAAAAATCTATCCCCTTGTAAAATTTTTCATTCATATCCTGAATTGTTTCACGGAGTTCTTTGTATTGGTTTTCAGATTTATCTTGCACCTCACTGACCATATTTAAAAATCAGTATTTTGACTTCCTTATCTGAGACTTTAAGAATTTCATTCCAGTTACGATCTATTGCTGGAGAATTGTTGTGTTCATTCTGGGGTGTCATATTTCCTTGTTTTTCATGTTTCCTGTGAGACTCTGAATTTCTATCAAGTTTCCAGTTGATGCCAATAATGCTGATATCACACAGCCTTTCTCAACCAGCATTCATTATCTGAACTATGGAACACAGAGAATATTTTGAGTGGCTCTTTTCTCAATTCTCCCAAGGATGGTACCTAACCAGAACCATTCTAGATACAAAGCAGGACACCGATTCCTTACATGCAATTAGTGCCTTTGGTTTAGGCCTTAATTTTTTTGAGGAAACTTGGTTGAGAAAGCTGTCTTTGTAAAGCTGCTGAAGAGAAAGATAGGCTCAGACTCTGAAAAAACTATACCATTACCATCTTTAATTCTAACCAGTCTATTGTATCAATGATATAATATCAATGATAATGAAATAATTGGACTAATAGTGTTTTTGTCTATGAAATATCATCTATTAATTCAGTAATTATTTGTGGAGTACCTGCTATTTAGCACTGTGATGCTGAAAACATTTGAAGAATAAATGATGAAATAATTATTCATAACTTTTAAGCAACTTCTTCCTGGTGTTCATTGTTAAACTTAAGTGAAATATCTGTACATGACTCAGATACTTTAGAAAAATATTCTCATCAAAAAATCCCAGCACAATTAAAAAGATTTAATAAGCTATTTGTGATGCCTCCTCACATAATTCTCACAATTCTGGGGATAGCCTAATAATCACTAGCTGTTGACAGAGAGAAGAAATAGCCAAATCCAATAGCTTCAAAGGACCATACCTCGAATGCATGATTGTTATAGAAGCGGTCTTCTACCTTACTCCCCCATTCTGCTGGATCAAAGTTGGTTTCTAAATAATAAAAATATAGTAACTTCAGATTTACTTGAATTCATTAAGGTAAATGTAGAATAGTAACACAAATATAAGTTTCTCGTTTCAAATTATAGGTTCTTTACTGACAGTCCAAAATCTTATTGACATTGTACATAGCCTAGCACTGCAGACATTACCCGTGATTATTAAATATATAATAACCAACTGAACATTGGATGAGCCTTTGGGGATATTTAGAAAAGCACTAAAAACATAATTTCTGCCTTCATAGAATTTATAATAAAAAGGGAAAAAGAACAAATGCCAGTACTTAAATATAAATGTAGACACTTAGAACATGTATTAGTAAACACAGAAAAATGTATAAAACTAAATGCTAAGTTGTCAGAAAGTTTGGAAAAGTGAAGGATGGGAGAAATTTTTTTTAATGAAGTATATTATGTAGACAGTTGACATAGACAAGGAGAGGTATTTATTTTTAAATAATTTTTTCTTTAACTTTATGTTATGAAAAATTTCAAAGCTAAAAAGTAGATAAGATAACAAACTCCCATAAGCATATTGTCTAGATTCAATGATCAACCCATGATTTATTTTATCTATAACCTTTTCTTCTAATTATTTTTCTGCACTTTCTTCTGATTATTTTTAACCCAACCCCTCCCTTGCATCCTGTTATTTTATCTACAATTATTTATTTCACAATGTATCTCAATATATACTCTCTTAAAATATAACCACAACACCATTATCATACTTCAAAATACTAAAAATATTAACAATACCCTAATATCCTCAACTATTCAGTCAACTATCCAAATTTCTTCCATTGTCTGTTTATTTGTTGGTTCAAATCAGGACCCCGAAAATGGGCATGCACAACCCTTTGTATGTCTTTTAAATTTCTTTTAAAGGAAGATCCCCCAGTCCCTATTCTTTCCTTGCAATTTATTTGTTGATGAAATTAGGTCATTTTCTCTTTGGAGTTTTTCACAGTTCAGATGTTTCTGATTATCCCCATGGTGGCTTTTAACAAGTTCTTCTGCCTTTGAATTTCCTGTAGACTGGCAGCTAGATGTATAGATTTGATCTGATTCAGGTTTGATGGTTTGATTTTTTTTCTGCAAGTATACTTGATTGGTAGTGCTGTGTAATTCTGTCATAAAATTTATAATGTCTGGTTACTCTTTTTATAATTTTTATCGGCCCCCTGATGATCTTTGCTTAGATCATTTCTTTAGGGGATGTGAAATGGTAATGCTCTAATTTGATCAATACTTTTTTATTTTCTGGAGTACTCATTAAAGAAAACTTTTTCTCATCAACTGTTTGGTTACTCTGAAGAATAGTTCTTACAGAAAGGAAAGGTTAAAGGTTTAGTTCTTTCCTTTTATTTATCAGTTTTCAGAATAATCAGTTGGATTCCTAGGATCCTCTCAAGATGACCAATGAGTTTTTTCTTTAACCATCACAAATTCATGATTCATTTCAATCCAATGCACATATTATTCTTATTGATGCTCTAATGATTAAACATTTGTCCAGTGGTAGCTTATTCAGGTGCTCAAATGTTCCTGAGTCCTTTGGAAACACCTCTAGCAACCTTTGATAGCTTCCTTGTTTTCTGGTATGGGAAGACGTTCAGCCTAATCTTGTATATTTCCTGCCAAGTTCATGAAATTAGCTTGTTCTCCAAGAAACCCTCATTCCTAGGAATGGTATTTAGAGATGACAACCTAGAAGCTGGGTGCTCACTGGTACTAGGTGGGTCATTCTTTTGAGGCCTTTAATGTACAGAGCTAGAAAATACTTCTTTCATTTTTTAAAGAGAAAACATGAGGTTACACTGATATTTTTCAACTCAAATTTAAGATTACAGGATTTTATTAACCTCTTTCATCTTCATAATTGTATGTTATTTTTCCTACACCAAAAATCTTATTCCTAATAACACTAGCTTAGTTCCTTACTTGCTTTGTTCTACAATACATAAATTCAATATATAATTTCAGAATAACCATACCATAATATGATTAACAATGATTACTGAAAGCAGCTTAAGGGTTTTTTTTGTTGTTGTTCATTTTGTTTTTAGGATATATGCACTAGGCATGTACAGTCAAATTGCTCCATTTTAATATCACTTGAAATAATTCCTTTCTGTGTGGTTATGTCACCCGATCTATACTAGTTAGGCTCATATGTTTCACTTTGCTTTTACATTTTAGAAACTGCTTTTCTTGGCCGGGTGTGGTGGCTCACGACTGTAATCCTAGCACTTTAGGAGGCCGAGGGGGGTGGATCACGAGGTCAGGAGATCGAGACCATCCTGTCTAACATGCTGAAAACCCGTAACATGCTGAAAACCCGTCTCTACTAAAAATACAAAAAAAAAAAAAAAAAAAAAAAAATTAGCTGGGCATGGTGACAGGTGCCTGTAGTCCCAGCTACTCGGGAGGCTGAGGCAGGAGAATGGCGTGAATCCAGGAGGCGGAGCTTGCAGTGAGCCGAGATCGGGCCATTGCACTCCAGCCTGGGCGACAGAGGGAGACTCCGTCTCAAAATAAATAAAAATTAAAAACTACTTTTTTTTTTTTTCAATTTTTATTTTGAGACGGAGTCTTGCTCTGTCGCCAAGCTGGAGTGCAGTGGTGCGATCTCGGCCCACTGGAACCTCTGCCTCCCGGGTTCAAGCCATTCCCCTGCCTCAGCCTCCCGAGTAGCTTAACAATTTTAAATTTAAAATTATAACTATGTAAACTTTTATGATTCCAAAATCAAGATATTTTCTATAATGTTCTCTCTAATCTACCCTGTTCACTTTCTCCTAAAGGTAAATGTTAAGTTTTTAAAGATTTACTTTTCCATTTAAAAATAAAAACAAAGCTGGGCATGGTGCTTCATGCCTGTAATCCCAGCACTTTAGGAGGCGGAGGCTGGCAGATGCTTGAGCTCAGGAGTTCAAGACCAGCCTGGGCAACATGGCAAAACCCTGTCTCTACCAAAAAAAAAAACAACCAAAAACCAAAAACCAAAAAACAAAAAACAAAAATTAGCCCAGCGCGTCTGTGCATGCCTGTAGTTCCAGCTACTTGGGAGGCTGAAGTGGGACGACTGCTTGAGCCTGGGAGGTTGCAGTGGAGCCACGATCCACAATTATACCACTGCACTCCAGCCTGGGCGACAGAGCCAGAGCCAAACCCTGTGGCAAATACACACACACACACACACACACACACACACACAGAGATATATATTCATATCAATCTCTTTTGTTAAATGATAGCACACTGGCCAGGTGTTGTTTCTCACAGCTGTTATGCCAGCACTTTGGGAGGCTGAGGCAGGAGGGTCATCACTTGAGCCCAGCAGTTTGAGGCCAGCCTGGACAACATTGTGAGACCCCCCGTTTGTATTAAAAAAATGGTAGCACACTAAGCACACTTTTCTCCATCTTGCTGTTTTCACTGAATATATCCTGAAAATCACTCTACAGTATCATCCATAGTATTATCGAGAGGTCTTTCTCATTTTTGAAAACAGCTATATATATAACTCAGTTGTGTAGATGTATTATAGTTTGTTCACTCAACCTCCTATGGATATTTGGGTTGTTTCTACAAAGGATGATGCACTGAAAAGTGTAGAAGTGGCACTTCTGGGTCAAAGGTTAAATACATATATAATTTTGGTAGGTATTGCTAAGTTCCCCTCCTGGAAGTTATGGCATTTTGCTTATCTACCAGCAATGCATATAAATGCATCTTATCCCACAGCCTACAGAGTACGTTGGCTCTTTGCCAATGTAATGGAGGGGTTGTTATTGGTAGCTCAGTGTAGTTTTGATTTGGACTTCTGTTACTATGGATGTTTGAATATCTTTTCATAAGTGCCATTTATGTTCATTTTTGTGTGAATTGTTTGCTCATATCTCTTGCCAATATTTTCTATTGGGTTCTATAAGCCTATAACATACTGTTTTTACAAACTATTTATTTATTAGGGCTATTAACCCATTGGGATGTAAATTGCAAATATTTTTTGTCTTTTGTAGTTTTGTTTTCCTCACAGTGCTTTTTCTCATGTAAAAGTTTACTTTTATGTTGTCAATTTATAACAATCTTTTCTCTAATTGCTTCCGAATTTTTGAAGCAATTAAAGCAATTTAGCTAGCAAAATTTTTTCTTCTCTTATAGAGAAATTCATCCATGTTTTCTTCTAGTATCTGTATGGTTTCTTTTAAAAAACATTTATATACTCGACTAATTTGGAATTTGTCCTTGTATATGATATAAGAAATTGATCCAATTTTATCTTTTTCCTTCTTTATCTTAAAATAATAAAAAGTCCACCTTTTTCCTAGTGACCTGAAATACCATTTAAATCATATACTAACATGTTTCCTGTCACAAAAACAAAAATTAAGAGTAGTAACCACCTATGATGAATGCTGGCAAGGGAATTCTTGCATTGTGTGGGAGACTGAGCCAGAAGTCCATAGTGATTATTTTTTTTTCCTTTTTGAAGAGACTGAATTCTGATACTTACATCTTCTGGATAATTTGCCTTTGGTTGACATGGGTGGAATTGGGTGTGGTGCTTACAATTTTTTCAAATGGTTTTACTCATTGTTTATTAGAGAGCTAGTGTCCTGAGACCATTAATCTGAATCATTATTTGCTTTAATTATTGTGATCCAGTAACAATGACGCAAATGTTTTTATAATGGAATGTTTCTGAGTTCTAAAATTAAATAAATGACTAAAGACTTTTACTGCATGAATTTGTAGTTAATCTTATAATAAAATTAATGTTCATTACAATTCACCTCTTTTCCCAAATAATTTTTTCCCCTTCCAACTTTTATTTTAGGTTCAAGGGACACATGTGCAGATTTGTTACATGGTTAAATTCTGTGTTAAGGGGCTTTGGTGTAGAGACAATTTTGTCACCAAGGTAATCAGCATAATGCCTGATAGGTAGCTTTTCAATCCTCACTCTCCTCCTACCTCTGCCCTCAGATAGGCCCCCAAGTCTATTGCCAAATGATTTCTCTTAATAACTTTCCTCTTCTACATATAGTTTATCAAATGTGCTCAGTGGAAAATATTTAAAGTTTCAGATTGTGCAACAAATATTCCCACTGACCGGATATGGAAAAGACCAGCAACATTCAGGAAATTGGCAGAGATTTTGAGCTCTGTGAGGGCAGGGCATAAAAAGCAAGGGGTGGAGCTATGCAGTGTGTATGGGAGTTGTTTTAATTCCACCCTTGTGCCAGGTTTTCTTCCACTATAAAATGATTACAATTGAATGTTTGTTTGCTTGTGCCTGTTTCTAGTCACCTTTACCACTCCGTTGGAATACTGTAATAAAAAGTAATGATGACAAGAATTTACACAAAATGGATATTCTAATCAAGAATGGCTTTCCGGGGGTTGGGGCGGGGGTCACAGGAGTGGGGAAGGGGACTCACTGTGTTGCCCAGGATGGAGTGCAGTGGCTATTCACAGGTTTACTCATAGCTCACTACTGTCTTGAATCCCTGGGCTCAAGTGATCCTCTTGCTTCAGCCCCTGAGTAGCTGGTACTAAAGGTGCGCACCACCATGCCTGGCTAAGGATAGGTTTTTAGTACCAAACTGGTAAAGTCCTGACAGTCATAAACCTTCAAGGTTGGGGATTTATAAATTTTATTATGGGAGTGAAGGAATTTTGCTTTGGCTTTCAACCAAAGAGTTATTGTTAGTGGGGATCTGGGTCTCTGTGCAGGATGGAATTTAGCATAAAGAATATAAATTACGTTTCCAAGCTGGTAGTTCGCCTTTCAAAGCAGGTTGTCTGTGCCGTTATTGCAGAACAGTTTCATATACCCCAGTGAATATCAGTTTATTTAAGGAGTGCAGAATTCTTTTTGCAGCACTTATAATACTTACAAATGGAAGGAATCAAAATTGAAAGGAAACTACAGATACTCATTTCAGGAATAATAGTCAGCTGCCAGGGATGCACAAGAACAGTGTGCTGGAACGTGACGAGGGTAGACTATATGATCCTTTTTTCCCCCACTGATTTCTCCCAAGAAATGTATGTTCTTTTGCAGTTACCGTCCACACTGCATGCCCATGAGAAATACAATGAAGATGGTCTGAATAATGAACTGGTAATCTTCGATAATACGAAACGAATTTAAGAAAACATATCAAAGAGGTACATACTGTTTCAAAGAGCAAGAACTGTTAACGGAAACTCCCTGCCTCATAAAGGCTTTCTGCAGAATGGAGATGGTCTTAAGCAAGTTTTACTATAAACAAATGCTTAGTTTCTTATTTTAAAAAATGACTAATTTTAGAAAGCTTACTCTCTCTTCTCTCTAGAAGGCTCTCAAAATAGGCTGCTGCAAAAGCTGGTATATTGTCCGGTTGCTCTCTCAGAATCTCGCGTGTCAGCCCTTCAAGAAGATTCCCAAATCCTTGTGGAATTCGGTAGTGGGTGTTGGAGAATGGAATCGACATCTTCTTGGTAAGAACTGCCTATGGAACCTAAAGATTCATTAAAGAATACTGTCTTTAAATTTATCTGATTTTACTTTTATAATCACAACTATGCCAACAAATTATTTCTGAGACCCACATTTTTTAAACTTGAATTCTTTTTTCTCTAACACAACCCAAGTCCATCTATTTCTTCCAAAGGGTTTTGAAATCTCCATTATGGATTAGAAAAATACAAATACAGACCCATTCACTAGGCCAAATCATTTTTTTTAAACCCTACAAAAAACCCATAATTTTCAATATGACTTTTTCTCTTTACCCGTTGTATTCTCAAAAGGTAAGGGTAATTTTTGCTATCACACAGGAATTTAGAGAGAATGATTGTTAAAAACTTAAATTGAATTCATTATCAATTGCTGAGAAGGCCCTCTTTGAGGTCTATTTTTTTTTTAAAGAGTAGAAATTAGTCCTAGTTCTAGAAATTAATTTGTTGAATGAATTAACCTTTCCCTTTGCTGCCACTTCTGAAGCATGGCCCACAATGCTTCGAACACCTTTGTACTGTGGAATGGGGTTGTGCCTGCGTGTGTGTGAGGGAGGGGAGGGATGGGATGGGATGGGGCTGTGTGCCATGATTTTGAAATCCCAGCCTCTAAAGTTTTAGAATTCTTATATTTTCCGGTTTCTTCTTGACTAGGCTGTCTCTTTCTGTCTTGCAATACAAGGGCCAGATTAAGAGTAGCTGCTAAGCAGTGGGCTGAGCTGCTGAGTATGAAAAGACCTGGCCTGCTAACGTGAGAGGGTGCGTCAATGCGGAATAGAGGTGGAAGCCGTGGTAGGGGTGCAGGTTGGGAGAACTAGGCGGTTTGATGAGACTATGGAGGGTTCTCGTTTCATCGCTTTTTTCTTTTTTTCCTTTGAGACGGTGTCTCTGGCCTGGAACTCCTGGGCTCCAGCGATGCTCCCGCCTCAGCCTCCCGAGCAGTTGGGATTACAGGAGCGCGCCACCACGCCTGACTCCTCTCTTTTGCTTTTTCTGAGGGAGCAGTAGATAGAGGTATCGAACCATTCTAGGGTGGTGAAAAGGGCTGGCGAGATTCTGAACCAATGTGGGCAGAGGAGGGCGGGCAGGGGGGCAGACGTTGAGGACCTGGGATTTCAGATTCGTGCAGAATGGGCTGCCTCGGCTCCAAACGGCCCAGGGCTCCGAGGATGTGTCTGGGATGCAGAGAGAGTACAAGAGACGAAGGGAAAAGGCTAGGTCTCGGTGTCGGAGAGGAAGTGGGGAAGCGGCCTCACCTCCTTTCTCTCCAAGCAGGTGCCGCCGGTTCCGGTTGTTTTTCTCGTTGCTGGGTAACCGTTTTTTACTTAAAAAAAAAAAAAAACAAAACTACGGCGGCCGAGAAGGGGAGCGCACGGCCCAGTCCTGAGGTCGCGGGAGGCTCCGAGGACTGCAAAAGGGTGGAGCCGGCCTCACCTCCGCCCAGGCCCCTCCCCTACCCAGGCCCCGCCCCCGCCGGGAGCCCACCTTCCCAGTCCCGAGCGGCGGGCGGATCCTTGCAAGCATGGTGGCGCCGGGGCTTGTACTCGGGCTGGTGCTGCCATTAATCCTGTGGGCCGACCGAAGTGCAGGTGAGGCGGCCCGGCTCGGCCGGACCCCTGCCCCTCAGCCTGTGCGGGCTCCGAGACCCCGTGTCCCCTGGGGGACACGGATCCGCGCCCCTTTCTCAAGGTCGACGAAGGAACCTAGCTAGGCTAGGTGTTCGCGTCTCCGACCTAGGCCCGGTCTGCAGGGGTCTGCTGGGTTTGGACCCCGGCCTCTCCACTTTCTCCACCCCCACTCACCATTCCTAACAGGCAGCCTGTGCGCAGGAAGAAAGTGCGGTTTGTCTCAGTGGGGAGGCCCAAATGTGCCCAGAAAGAGGCTTTCGGGGTCCTGGAGTAACTGCAGGGGAGCTCGGAGGAAAGGAGGGGAAGCTAGTTAGATAATATTTGGAAACAGGTGACTGAATCTTCCAAAACATTTCAGCGCTACCCCCTCAGTGGTGCCCTTGGGGAGGGTTTGCTTCAGGCGGGGTTCCTTAGGGGAATTAAATTTTACTCGTTTAAGTGGTTATTAGGGCTAAGAAATACAACCCCCTCACTAGCTCAGACTATTTAAGGCTCAGTTTTGATTTCTGGTGCAGCTTACAGATATTGGTGGTGAGATAATGTAAGTGGCATAAGGGAGGCTGCTGGCTCGCTTTGGCTGTTGTGCAGGTCAGATCTTGATCTTGCCATTCGAATACCCTAGGCTGGATACTGGGTCACAGTATGGAGAAAGCAGAAGGTACAATCTGTCTGATAATGCAAACTAAAGTGATAATAATGTTGGATTTCTTCCTTTCTTTTTAAAAACTCTCAAAGCGTGGACCCCAGCGATTCCTGTTAAGAAATGAAAGTTTGGGCAGGAGAACAGCGTGCAGAAAAATGAACGCTGCTCTACCTGACAGCCGGAAAAGTACCTAGATTCAGACAAACTGCAGGCCATAAATGATTGTTTAGAGTCTAACAAAAGTGCAAAATGCTAGCACTCTGTATGCCATTTCCTGACTCTTATCTCTACTCAGTGACCTTTGAGATCCATCTTATGAGGTAGGGAGAAGATATTTTATTAGATTTTCAGTTAAAGGCTGTTTATTTTAGTGTCAGTATTTTATCCTCCTTTGGGTCGTATTGTTACATCACCTTCATTAACATTGATCACATTTTTCATTCATTAGTACTCTACTTGGTTGCATATTCTGACATTTTTCCTTTAAATCATTCTCCCTGTGCCCATGTTTACCATGTAATACTTGAGATGTACAAAATTATATGTAGCAATAACACAATAAAATGAACACCCATGAGAGCAGCACCCAACTTAGAACTAGAACACTGCCAGTCTATTGAGCCTGGCATTGTGCTCCTTGTCAGTGCCTCCGGAACTCCTCACCAGAGGCAACCACTGTCCTAATTGTGTTATTCCACTTTTAATGATGGTCTTTTCCCCATAACACTCATTCCTGTTTTTCTACTCCAGCCCCAAATGAAGGAAAAAACTGAAGACCTAAAAAATCCAAATGTTGGCTCACACCTTTAATCCCAGCACTTTGGGAGGCTGAGGTGGGCAGATCACTTAGAGTCGGAAGTTCAAGACCAGCCTGGCCAACATGGCGAAACCCCATCCCTACTAAAAATACAGAAAAATTGGCTAGGAATGGTGGCTCACACCTGTAATCCCAGCACTTTGGGAGGCCAAAGCAGGCGGATCATGAGGTCAGGAGTTCGAGACCAGCCTGGCCAACATGGTGAAACCCCATCTCTACTAAAGATACAAAAAAAAAAAATTAACCATGTGTGGTGGCACATGCCTGTAATCCCAGCTACTTGGGAGGCTGAGGCAGGAGACTCACTTGAACCCTGGAGGCGGAGGTTGCAGTGAGCTGAGATCGCACCACTGCACTCCAGCCTGGGTGACAGAGCAAGACTCTGTCTCAAAAAAACAAACAAACAAACAAACAAAATCAAATGTTAAATGTATGTGTCTTGTGTTTGACACAAGGAATGACTAGCCTTGCTCTCTTTCTCATTCTCTCTCTTTTTTTTTGTCCATTGTACAATTCCTTGATGTTCCACTGTCTACTCTAATGAGCTTAGAATTTAAACTTTACAAAGACAAGGAATATGATTTTTTCTTTGGTTTGCCGCAAGTATCTAACTTCGGCAAAAAGGGAATTTCAAGTTTGGAATCAAGTGACTTGTTTTCTAACTTTGTCATAAACTATGTTATTTGAGACCAAAGGACATTAATGTTTGTGGTATGTTTAGCACTGTGCCTGCCACAGGTAAAGTCTCTAGTAGAGTGGAAGCTCCCTGCGGGCAAGGATTTTTGTCTGTTGTTATTATTATTATTTTGTCATCGTTATATTCCCAGTGCTTAAAATAGTAGGTATCAATAAATATTTGTTGAATTAACTAATGAACATGCAAGCTATTTAAAAAAATTGTTTAATCTGCCTTTGGTCTCAGTTTCTTGATCAGTAATATGATTATACTTCTTGATCAGTAAGTAACATGTTTATACTACAATTATGAAGATCCTTTCCACCTCTAAAACTCTTTAGCCCAGCACAGAGTCATTCACAAAGATGTTCATTAAGTGTATATTGCTGAAAACAGACTTGGAAAGGTATTTCCCCTAGCCTATGGGCTACTGACTGCACACAAATGTGCAAGCTGCAGCCATTCCCCTACCCCCACCCTCTCTCTACTTAGCTCTTATTTATGTCTGTGGTTTTCCTTTTTTTGGTTCCATATGAAGCACCTACCCAAGACAAGGCCCTCCCACACATGTGCCTCCCCCTTCCCCCCAGCAGGCTGCCAACCTGCTTATGCAATTCTGGGGCGTTGTATTCTTTTCTTAGAGCATTTTGCTCATGGTAGCTGTGCATCTCCAACCCAGTAGGCCTTCTGGGTGATCTTTCATTGTCATGTAGGTTTCATGATCACAGTAGGTTTCATGATATTTGAGCTGAATCATATATAGCTCATAAGAGAGAGCTGAAGATTTTTAGTGACTTGCCTGTTATTCCAAGAGCAGGATAAATAGGCCACGGAGCTGTGTAGGCGACTCCATTAGCTGTGCTGCCCTGTTAAGTATAGCCGAAGGGGCCCTCATCATTTGTAGCTTCCAGAGAGGAAAATGTCAGCCTTGTTAATTCTGATTCTCTTTTCTGCCTATCATTTTTGTTTAAAATGCTTAAAAAGATCTTAATTTTATTAATTATTATCTTTTAGGTAATTTGGGGTCTGTTTTATTCAGATACATTGGGATATAATTTGTTTTATTTTTTTCCTGGTTAAGTTTTGATGAGGAACACGCTGAGATAATTTGGATGGATGTTTGTTATTAATAAAATACTTCTATATAGGCTGGATGTTAAAAGTAGGAACGATCTCGTTAAAGCGAGTTCTTATTCAGTCTTGTTAGTGACTCTCTAGAATAGAATCCAGTTTCTCGTGTGCTTTATCTTGTCCTTTTAGTATAATTTAGCTTGTGGAATGGGTAAAATTGTGACAGAAGACTTTTGTTCAGACATGTTGACCTTCTGTCTCTCACTGACCTTATTTATGTGTCTTGATTTATTTGAATTTACCTGAGAAGGACGCTGACTTGTCGTGAATATTTATAAGGGCTTATGTAGAATTTTTGATGCAGTACACTGGTTTGTCAAAAAACTGTGATAAGGGGCAGTATTTGAAGGAAATTGGCATTAGTGGCATGGAAAAGGGGAGATAGAGAAGGGGAAAAAGATTAGGGAAGGCTGTTTGGAGAGAAGCATGCTGCTTTATTCCCAGCCATTAGGAGTGGGCGTGGTAATGGAAAACAGGGAAAGGAAGTGGTTTATTTTTCTCATAAACACCATCTATCGGGTGTATGAAAGGAGCATTTTAATGATTTAGCGGGAGAGAGCCCAGCATTAGGGCCAGGCCTGAGAACAAAGACAGATCAAGAGCTCTGAAGGGGAGGGAAGACTATGGTCTGTTGGTTGCTTTGGGCTCTGGGAGTTTCCCTTAGTGGTCATCGTGTACTATGATGCATCTGTTGGAAACTGTTCTTGTTATGTTGCTTGCCTAATTAGGAGGAAGAAGATCTAGTTTTAGACGATTAAAGGGACTTAGTATGTTAAAATTCTCGTGCATAAAGACTGTATGTTCTTTGCTGTTTCACTTGATCCAGTTGGTGCTGTATCTCTCCAGTGATGCTCCCCTCAGTGTTTGCTAAATTTTTTAGGTATTGGTTTTCGCTTTGCTTCATACATCAATAATGATATGGTGCTGCAGAAGGAGCCTGCTGGAGCAGTGATATGGGGCTTCGGTACACCTGGAGCCGCAGTGACCGTGACCCTGCGCCAAGGTCAGGAAACCATCATGAAGAAAGTGACCAGTGTGAAAGGTAAGGCAGCCCATCTTCTGTTCAGCTATTGCCCTCTTCTGCCACCTGCTGGATTATCTGAAAATGAATTGCTAATGCTGTAGCTCACGTTATCCATCCATCCGTCTGTACATCTGTCTGTCCATTCATCCATAAAAGTTATTTGAATTTTGCCATGTGCTGGGCACTGAGGATACAAAGAAAAATAAGACTGAGTCAAAGTTCCTGTTCTCAAGGAACTTACGGAATAATGGGAATAGATACCAAGTTATATAGGACAGTGTGATGAATGCTATGATGAAGGTACATGTGGGGTGTCTTGGGGTACAGAGGAGAAACATTGAACTCAGACTAGGTGGTAAGGGAAAGTTTCCACAGAAGATGATATTTGAGCTGAATCACATATAGAGGAGAGGCAGTATGGAGGAGAGGGTAAGAACTCTGGTAATTCTTGCCCAACAACATTCTTACCTTCTTACATTCTTACCTTAAAAAATCTTAAAACCCAAGACTAGCACCATGTAAATCCCATTTCTTATTTTTAAACCACAGCAATTCTTTGGATTTCTAAGTCAGTATCATTTACTGAGCGTGCCATAATGTAAGAATGTAAGACTTCATATTGGTAGTCTAAAGCTCTGGAAGTTACTGCTTTCAGGTCCTGATTCTGTCATTTCTATGGCTGAATAATCTTGGACGTGTAATATAACATCTCTGTGTCACAGTTTATACGTAAAATGGAGATCGTCATGATACCTACAGGATTACTGTGAGAATTAAATGAATTAACACTTGTGAAGTACTTGTAACAGTGCCTGGCACACAACTGCAGGGTAAGTTTTAGTAGTCATGATTGTTACTATTACTATTCTTATTTAGTCAGTCATTCAAATATCTATTGAGAGCCTACCATGTGCTCTCATGATTGAGACATTGTGCTAGGTACTGGTGATCTCATGATTGAGACATTGTGCTAGGTACTGGTGATACAGTGATAAGTAAAACAGATATGTCCTCTCCCTTAATGAGGCATGCAGGTTAGACAGGAAGACAGTAAGCAGTTACAATTCAGTGTGATAAGTGTGTTAAGTGTGATAAGTACCACAGTGAGGAAGAACAAGGTGCTTCGTAGAGAATAGGGATAATTATGTAGTCTGAGGCTCATCTTGAGAGGTGAGCAGGGCACACCAGATAGTGAGAATAGCCTGGCAAAGGCATGGAGGCCTGAGTGTACCTGGGCCATGGGAGAGATGCCAGGCAGGTTGGTTGGTCTGGAACACTGAGGGTGTAGGACTGGGCAGATGACAGGAGATAGGTTGGAAAGGCAGGGAGGCTTGTCTGTCATTGCTAAGGAGTGTATGTTTTATTCTAAACAGACAGATTTTTAAACAGCAAAATAATATGATCAGATATTTTAGAAAGCTCACTCTGGCAGCACTGTGGAAGATGGATTGGAGATAGTAAGACAGAGGTGGTGGGCCTTGTGGGCAGGCTGCTATGATCTCCAGGCAAGAGATGATGACGGTTTGACCTCATAGAGTAGCTGTGAGGATGTTCAGGAAGGTGAGAATTCGCAGTTTTCATGAGCAGGGAGATCTTACAAAGGAGTGAGTCTCCGTCTAGAAGAGATAAAGATGTAGAAGCCGGCGTGGAGGAGATGAAGCTAGAAGTTATGGGATGCAGGAAGGCACGCTCAGGGCTGGATGTTACAGATAGCTCTATAGCTGTGTGATGTGGAGGTGAGAATGAGACAGATGAGGAGGCTGCTCAGAGGTGGAGGTGGAGTTCAGGTGCAAAGTGGTGGTTTGAGCAGTGGCTAGCATATATATGTGACAGGGATGCTTGTGGGAATTGCACTGGCCCCCGAAAGCAAGGATTGTCTGGTTAGTTTTATCAGTATACAAAACTGGTGATCCAATCCAGAGTGATCCGGATCCTGATGCAGTCTCTTCAAAATTCATTTCCATTCAGCAAACATTTAAAAATACTATATGCCAGGCATTGACATAAGGTAAGTGCTTCTAATTCTTGGGTTTTAAGACTTTTTAAGGTAAGAATGTTGTTGGGTAAACTAAAAGACTGAAAGGGAAGCTTCAGCTGATTGAGACTTGCTTCTCTGTTGGATCTAAATGCTGTCGGTGACTTGCAGGATATCCTGAAACTGAAGGATTCAAGGGACTCTTCGTGCTTTCTGTTTGTGCTGGGCCACCTTAGAAATGAGGAGCACTGTGTACAAATAATGGCACTCTCAGTAAATGATGCTGACTTAGAAATCTAAAGAACTGCTGTGGTGTAAAAATAAGAAGTGTGATTTACATGGTGCTAACAAGTTACCAATAAATATTTAGGCGACAGAGAAAACACAGTGCTGTAGAGATACATACAGAAAGCGTACAATGTTGTGTAGCATTTCAGTTTAAAAATCCTCGTGCATTGTTTTTAGATTTTTCTCCCTTCATGCCTGTTTCAGAAAACACAGTGCTGTAGAGATACATACGGAAAGCGTACAATGTTGTCTAGCATTTCAGTTTAAAAATCCTCGTGCATTGTTTTTAGATTTTTCTCCCTTCATGCCTGTTTCAGAACTAGTATTTGAGGCGGGCAGAGATGAGGCAGGAGGCTAGGTGGAATGAAAGGTAATAATTAGGGGAGGAGCCTCCCTTTTCCTTTACAGTGATTGCGAAGCTGCTCATTTATCCTGAGTTGAATTTGATAAACACCGAGTGAGGGCTTACTGTGTCTAAAACACTGAGCCAGAAACCCTAGGAAAGTATAGAGAAGAATACAAATAGTGCCCATCTCTCAAGAACTCACTCCCCCATTCCATCCTTTCACATTTAGTAGTTTAGGCTCAAGTAGTGCTCCAGCTGCTTCACTGCAAGGAGATGTATCATTCGTAGTTAAAAGAACCAGCAGCAACTTAAGAGAATTGAGTGATTCATGGGTACGGATGATAATTTCACAGGAAAAGGGGTTGATGTTATTGGTGGTGGTGGGGACCTGCTTATTAGACTTTCCACATTTACTTGGTAGAAAAGGGGAAGGTATTTGAGTTTAGAGAGATCTGCAAACCTGCTGCAGTGGGTATCTTGCTTTGTTCTGCCCGTGAAACAAAATAGATGAAGTGTTAATTGGAATAAAGGAGGTAGACATGTAAGAAATTTCATAGGCAAAATATGTCTCTCAAAAGACATACCACAGAGAATACTGAAGGGTGGATTTCTGGTTTAGATTTTAATGAGGACTCTGAGATTTTCAGCAACATTACCTGAGTTGGCTGCTTTGTCTGCCTCTGGTAATGTTTAACTTATTACCCATAGTCCCCTAGAAACCCAGAACAAAGTAAGATATAACAGCATAAAGGTGGTTGTCCAGCAGACTGACACTGAGACTTTGGGAAAATTAACACCTGAGGGATGATTGGGACCATGGTCAGGTGCTGGGTTGGTTCCAACGATGTTGTCAAATGAGGTAAGAGGATTCTTTTAGACACGAGGAATACAAGCAGGGAAAACCAGGCATATCCTCTCACTTTGACATACATGGTAGGGGTGTGTGTATGTAGGTGATAAAATGGGGGTGTGTCTGTCTATATTTGTCATCATGATTGAGGTAAATAGATATATTTTCTCTACCTTAAAATAATACAAAAGCCTAAAACCCTCCCTGCCCCTGGTTGGCATGCATACCAATTTTCTTTTCTTTTTTTGAGATGGAGTCTTGCTCTGTCTACCCAGGCTGGAGTGCAGAGGTGTGATCTCAGCTCACTGCAACCTGTGCCTGCCAGGTTCAAGTGATCCTCCTGCCTTAGCCTCCTGAGTAGCTGGGATTACAGGCACCCGCCACCACGCTTGGCTAATTTGCATACTAGTTTTCTATGCTACATAATAAATTGCCACAAACTTAGGTGCTTAAAACAACACGCTTTTACTATCTCACAATTCCTGCGGGTCTGAAGTCTGGTTATGGTTTAGCTGGATTCTCTACTGAGGGTCTCACAAGGCTGAAATCTAGGTGTGGGCCAGGCTGTGTTCCCATTGGAGGTGCGAGTAGAGAGTTACCTGTTTCCAAGCTCCCTTGCGTTGCTGGCAGAATTCATTTAGGTGTTGAGCTCATGGCAGCACCTCTGCTGTTTCAGATCTCTGACCTCTAGATCCTCTTTGAAAGAGCTCACCTAATTATGTATGCCAACCCAGGAAAATCTTGATTTTTATTAAAGTCAAATGATTAGGGACTTTAATCACATCTGCAAAATCCCTTCACCTTTTCCATATAGCATTATCTAACACAAGAGTGACATCTCATTCCCTTTGCCATTTTCTGTTGGTTGGAAGCCAGTCACAGATTCTGCCAGCCACACAAGCATGTGACTTTGGGGTGTCACCTTAGGATGTGTCTGCCACCACAGGCTATAGTGTAAGTAACTTGCATGGGCAGTTTTAATGATATAAAAGCACTTAAGCTTTTTTTCCTTTGCATTCATATTTGGTGGTGGAGATGAACTTAAGATTACAACAGAATAAATGTAGTTTGGTGAGGGGCAGTGTAGGCAGTAAGGTCTTCTTGACTTCCATGCCATTTCCACAAACCACTGAGCCACTTTGCAGCTAGTGAGGAACTAGGGTTCTGTTGGGTGGGGGTTGGGGAGGAAGTGAACAGGGATGCTTTTTTCATCTCTAGGTTGTTCTCGGGAAGGGAATGGTCATGGATAATTTTCCTTTTTCTCTTCTTGGCATCTGAGATTTTGGCACAATAATAGAACAAAATAATTAACATCTGATGTGAGTAGCAAAAAGAAAAAACAAGAAAGCACTTTATGACTATGTCTCTAGACAAATTATTTTCATTTTTTCCTTTGATCGTGTGCTTGTTCTTCACATTTTGAGGTGGGAGTGAATTGTGAGGTGGAGAGGAGGTGGAAACAGAGTTTTTCACTGCCCTTGGCTGGAATGTGAGAAGAGCAACAATAAGAAATAGGCCACCAGAGGCCAGGTGCGGTGGCTCACGCCTATAATCCCAGCACTTCCAGAGGCTGAGGCGGGTGGATCGTGAGGTCAGGAGATCGAGACCATCCTGGCCAACATGGTGAAACCCTGTCTCTACTAAAATACAAAAATAAAATTTAGCTGAGTGTGACGGTGTACGCCTGTAGTCCCAGCTACTTGGGAGGCTGGGGCAGAAGAATTGCTTGAACCCGGGAGACGAAGGTTGCAGTGAGCCGAGATCGCGCCACTGCGCTCCAGCCTGGACACAGAATGAGATTCCGTCTCAAAAAAAAAAAAAAAAGGGAAATAGGCCACCAGAAACGCTAACCCTTAGACATGAGAATGTAAGGCCCTAGTCAATTTGCATGGCTCTCTTGTCAGTGTAACCCAGGGATGGGGTTTACTTCCTACCATTTAATTGATGGAGTACGTGGCACACTAAGCACTCTAAGTAGCTGTATAATGAAGGAAGGGAATAATCTTCCTAGGTGGCACAAGAAAAAATGTGAGGAAGCAGAGATTTGAGTGCACTGAAAATGAGGATTTACAGAAACCTGGGCCTGGCCTGGAATTGCTGATAGCAAGTGATTAGGGCCCAGAAGAAGGATGGAGAGCAACTTGTTCAGAAAGTCAATCCGGATCAGTAGAAAAGCAGCTGGATGGTGAACTCTTTGTGGTTAGTGACTCAAGTTTACTATTTGGACTCAAGCTTATGGACTTCATGGGTCACCACTGTTTCTAAAAACTCTTAACCAAACTTGATTGGCCTGTGGTGAGCTCTATTTCAACAAACCGGTCCTGAACTGATAAGCCAAGGACTAGGCAGTTCTTATGAAACATGGTAGCTTTTGCCTTTTTAATCCCACCCTTGCTTTTGGTCTAAGAAACAGTCTTCACAGGTGCTGCTGTCCTTTGTATATACTTAAATAGGAGCAAATCCTTATTGTTTTAAATGAACTGTCTCTGAGTTGGTTTAACCATTAGTAACCTCTCTGGAGTGCATCAGGTTTTCCCTGACTTGCCTGGAAGTTAACTGTTCTTAATACTTGTTATTGTCAGAGTTTACTTTACTTTTTTTTTTTTTTTTGAGATGAAGTTTTGCTCTTATTGCCCAGGCTGGAATGCAATGGTGCGACCTCAGCTCATGCAACCTCCACCTCCTGGGTTCAAGTGATTCTCCTGCCTCAGCCTCCCGAGTAGCTGGGATTACAGGCACATGCCATCACACCCTGCTAATTTTTGTATTTTTAGTAGAGACGGGGTTTCACCATGTGGGCCAGACTGGTCTCAAACTCCTGGCCTCAGGTGATCCACCCGCCTCGGCCTCCCAAAGTGCTGGGATTACAGGCATGAGCTTCTGTGCCTTGCCAGAGTTTTCTTTTATCAAGTAGGAAAGGAAAAAAGCTAGAAACTAACATCTTGAGGACTAGCCCAGGAGGAAGTTTTCTGAGGTCTTTGTGGAAGTTGGAAGGCGGTTCCTCTGGGAGGCAGTTCTTGGGAATAAGGCTCAGGTCTTGATGCCTAGTTCTCTCTACTCCTTAGGCCCTAGAGGGAGTCATCCTCTGGTTGTAGTAGGATGGTATTGCCATGTTTTGCCCAAATAGTTTGGCATTGTCTTTTTATTACTGGGCAGCAGAGTTTTTTAGAACCTCTGGTGAAGGTAGTTTTCTTCACCAGCCATGTTGTCTGGATTGAGGCTAAGTGTAAATACCCAATTAACAGCAGTGAATAGGAATCAATTGTATAGCAATAGAAGGCTAAGAAATAGTCCTTGGTTTTCTGGGGGTTGACCTCACCATCATAAGTGAATAACGTTGGTGGCAGAAGGGCAGAGCTCCAGTAAGATGTGTCAGTGCAGGAAGCCTGGAAAGACCTTGGCAAGCCTGGAGTTGGGACAGATTGGAGTGTCTGCCTGCTCAGAAGTGTGAGCCATATGGAACACATCACACCTGTGCGACACAATCTGTCCTAGCTGCCCACTGTTTCCAAAACAGTGATTTTTCTGGTTTAGGTGAATTATACATTTAATACGTTGACGTGTGGCTACTGATGGTATAAAAACAATACCGAACATTTGGTTTTAGATTTAATTAACCACTTAGGGATGGGAGTAGCAAGCTCAGTTGCTTATGCTTTTAAGAGGAGCAAGCATGCACCCTTCCCCTGATGTCTTAGGGCTTTTGGACATTTTCCCCAGGACTCTGAGAAATCCTGTATGAATTGAGTTTTTATTAGTCACCTGTTGTACATTAGGACATCTCATGCATCTGCTTAGCTCTTGCTGATTGGAAAGAACTTTGCAGTATCTAGTACATAGTAGGCCCTTGGATGGTATTTTTTAGAATTATTATTCCTCGTAAATTGGATGTAATCATTTTAGGATGCTCCATTTCCAGTTCTTATCAGTCTTTCCCTTTGAATTTACATTGATCTGATGGGTATGAATTATAAATCAGTTCATATTCTTTGGCGTAATGCCAAGATTATTTATTTTAAAATGTTAATTCTCATTTTTTTTTCTGTTTTCTCAGTCTTGTTTTATCAACCTTGTTCATGTTGTTTGGTTCTCCTTGGCACAATTTTTGCCATTTTGAAGATATTTTCCTGAAGCTTCTAAGTATGTTGTTGGCAGGGGTGGTCTGGTGAGTGATGAGAGGTAGGAAGGTGATAGGGTGGTTCTAGGGAATATGCTATGAATTTCTGAAATAGGGTCTCAGATAGCTTCTCATCTCCGTAGTTGAGTCCCAAAGCCTTAAGTCTTGTAAATAACTCTGTGAAAATAATTAATTGGGCAAATTGGAATATCTTTTTCACAGAGACATTAATTTATATGCCTCCCACTACTTTTTGATGTGTCAGTTTCTCCACTCAACAGTTTGCTGTTCGGAAAACCCAGACCACTGGTAGTGTTAATCCTTGCTAGCAACACAGGAGGAGGTGGGGAGTGAAGGCGCAAGGGTGATACTGTCAAGCCAGGGGAAGTTCCAGATTATCATTGATTTTCTCTGCCCTGTGGTCACATTCGATTGAATAATTGCAAGTTAGTTTGGGGCACTATAAGATTAAATTATGTTAATTTTGACAGCTGGATAGTATAATAAGAATTTCTCTTTTGTGTTTTCTATTAAACTCTTGACTTTTAATCTGCATGTATTTTTGTCTATCCTCATTTAGGATTATAACTGGGTAACTTACTTTTTTTGTAAATGCTTCAGTTAAAAGTAAGGAGGGATTGGTACAGATTAAGGATAAAAATGCTGCTGCTCGTGTTAGTTCTATCCTCTTAGCTGAAATTTGGCCAATCTTCATAGCTTTGAATTCAGTTTATTACAGAGGCTGGGAATAGCCACAAATGAGTATAATTGGGGTTTAATTTCATTTTAATTGATTGATTAATTCCTTGGAGTCCTGTTACTATTTCAGCTCACTTTGATACCTGGATGGTGATACTGGATCCTATGAAGGCTGGAGGACCTTTTGAAGTGATGGCACAACAGACTTTGGAGAAAATGAACTTCACCCTGAGAGTTCATGATGTCCTGTTTGGAGATGTCTGGCTCTGTAGTGGGCAGAGTAACATGCAGATGACTGTGCTACAGGTAATTTGGAGAGTCTCAGCAATAATACATAGTGTTGGTGATGAAGAAGGAAAAGAAGGAGGAATAAGGGGACAACAAGGAGAAACAGGGCTGTTTCTATTTAGTGAGTACCATGAACCAAGATCTGTTTTAAGTGCTTTGAATGAATTCATTAATTTGACTTAATAATCTTAAGAGATAAGTTATTGTTAAATTGGTAGTTATTGATTGGTGCTAATGAATTCTATATAGGTTAAGAACTTAGAGGCAGCATTGTTTTCTCTAGCACTTTCTCCAAAACTGAGGTTCTTCTCAAGTGGATTTTTATTTTCTTGCCTTTTTTTTTTTGAGACGGAGTTTCTCTCTCGTTGCCCAGGCTGGAGTGCAATGGCGCAATCTCAGCTCACTGCAACCTCCACCTCCTGGGTTCCCAAGTAGCTGGGATTACAGGCATGCGCCACCCGGCTAATTTTTGTATTTTTAGTACAGATGGGGTTTCGCCATGTTGGCCAGGTTCGTCTCGAACTCCTGACCTCGGGTGATCCACCCGCCTCGGCCTCTCAAAGTGCTGGGATTACAGGCGTGAGCCACTGAGCCCGGCCTGTTTTTCTTGCCTTTTAATCATTCCTTTGAGAAATATTAAATTTGAGATGTAAACCTGAGAGTTGAGAACTAGACCATTATTTCAATTCATCTCTTTTAGAAAAATGTATGAAATACAATACGTTCATATACTCTATGATTTATTTTGTTTCTATTTCTTAGTTTTTTCTGTTTTTTTCTTTTTGTAGCCTACTACTACATAATGCTACTAAAATGATCTTGCTCTGAACATATCTACTTCATTTCATCATTAGTTTTCTGATTTAGGATTTAAATTCTTGCATTGAAGTCTTCCTTATCAACATTTTATTTACTCTTATGTTCTGTCTTATTTATATATATGGAAGGCCCCCCCCCCTTTTTTTTTTAAGAGATAAGGTCCTTCTTTGTCACCCAGGCTGAAGTGCAGTGGCATGATGATAGCTCACTGCAGCCTAGAACTCCTGGGCTCAAGGGTTCCTCCTGCCTCAGCCTTCTGGGTAGCTGGGCTTACAGGTGTTAGCCACCATACCCAGCTGATTTTTTATTTTTTTATAGAGATAGGGTCTTGCTATGTTACCCATGCTGGGCTTTTTGAATTAAAATGTTTATTAAACTGAACTTTGACTGGACTCTCTTTTATCATAAGAGAGTGGGAGCAAAGTCAAAGTTTTATTTCTCGATAGAAAGGATGGTTTTGTATAGAAGCAGAATTGCTGTTAACTCATTAAGGAAAACAGTGTTTTTCTTAATGCTGTAATTGCAGTTCCCTGTTTGCACAGAAAGGCATAGACCAGATCTGTTTGTATCTATATAGTCGCTTTCTCAACAGCAGTCTATGCCAGGGGATCCCATCCCATTTTCTGTCAAGCTAAATCAGATTTTGATTGTTAAGAGTAAACATATTTTTTCTGCCTAGAATTGACCCCTAAGCATCTTCTGTATAAAGCTAGGTCTCCAAGCTCTGGGATATAGGGGAACAGAAAAAAATTCCATCTGAAACATCCAAGTGTTAATATTTATTTTTTATTTTTGTTTAAATCATGCACTTAGTTTGCAAGATAACATTTTAGGTGCTGACAGTACCAAAAGCCAAGTTTCCAGTCTCTTAACAGTCTGTGGAACCTTATTTTTTGATTAAAAGGATGTTCTACATGGTTTCCCCTTTATTCCTTTTGCTCCTTTCCTCCTACAAACCCCCAACACACACACATACATCACACACACACATCACACACACACACACACACACACACACCCGCGAGTCTTTCTCCTTCCCTCCTTCCATGTGACTTTTCTGAGGAGGTAAGATTTTCCACTATAACCTACCACTCTTCACATTCAAATCAAGGAAATGGCAGATTGTATGCCCATCTTGTTGTTAGGGTAAAGTGGAATTTTAAAATTGAGTGTTATTTATAACGCTGAGTGAGATGTTTATAAATGGAGAAGAGTCTAAATGTTCATCTGTCGCCTCCTAAGTCAGGGTAGGTCTTAAGACTTGGATATTTCTAGTTATGCTCAGAAAAAGATGGCCAATATCCATCAGGAAACCCATTTTCCAATATCTCAGAACTCCCCACATTCCTATTTTACAAACAGAGAAATTAAGATCCAGAAGAGAAGGGCTGGTACCACATTCCAACAAAAGATTCACAGGACTTATGAGGCTGGCTTTTTTTTTTAATAGTTATCTCCTCAATTTTAGAACTGCTACCATAGTAGAAGGTAAAATAACTTACAGAATTTCCAAATTCTTTTAAGTAAATAAAGTTTCTGTCCTTCTGTGTGTGTGTGTGCACACACACACACACTCACATGCATGCTTTGCTCCCCCATGCAGACCCCATGCCAAGATTCTCTGAGGAAATAGATTCTTGACGTGTCTTCATTAATTCAAGAATGTGGTATAAAGGTTGCAAAATGAACACCAGTGAGCAGCTGCTTTGATGGTGAACGGTCCAGTCCCTAGAGAGGAAGCAGTGCTCTCTCCCAGCCTCTGTGGCGTTAATGACTTCAAATACCTTGGTATTCATTTACATCCTCATTTAAATACTTGGTAGAAAAATAATTACACTGTGGTGTTTGATGAGATGAAATCTGATCTCAGCAGATGGAGTAAGTCTTCCCCTTTCATCAGCAGGGGAACCAAGTGTCATTTAAATGAAAATCTTCCTGCAATCTCTTTATTCCTAAGTTTGCTGCCCATATCCCCGAGGAAATGCTTTCATCAAAAAGGCCTAGTCATTGGGAAAGGATACCAATTTCTGAAGTAATTGTCATTACATTGTCAGGTACGGAAGGAATGGTCCCCACCCCCATTTTTGTTGACACTCTCTGTGGCTTTCAAGTTTGGGCTTGAAATTACACACAAATGTGAATTGGAAAATGGAAGTTTTCCAGTCAATGTTTTGGATCCAGTTCCGTGTGCTGGTATCAATACAGGAGAATGCCAACCATTCTGACTCTATCGGCCTCACAGTACTCCACAGTGTTAGCAACGGGTCTAAAAGACAAGTAGCATGTTCTCCCATGCTGCCTCCCAAGCTGGCGTCTCACTGCGATGAGGCACTTGAGTTCCCAGTCAGTGCGGAAGCTAGTGTGGGTGGAGAGAATGAAAGCAGTTTCATCCACTGTTTCCATGGAAGCAACATAGGATCCTGAGTGCTTAGTGCAGAATTGAATTCCAAAGGAGGTGGCTTTTTACAGGTACTTGCTGCTGAAAAATAATTTCCCTGCCAGATATACTGTGAGTGCATTAACCTGTTCTTACTCCTTTGTGTTTACTTCACATTAACCTGCCAGGTATGATCCTGAACAAACAGGTCTGGATTTCCTATGGAATTTTCTTGAGACCATATGTAATCTGTCCTGAGAATGGGAAGACCAGTAACCCTGATAGCCTAGAGCTGCTGCTACCAAGGGAGCATTTCAGGTTGTGACTCCCACTGTGACCAAAAGAGCTATCTCATTTCCATCTGACCATCTTATTGGGCACAGCCGGCTCACTGGCAAGTCCAGAGAGATTCAAGGGGCAGCATCTTTCAGTGAAATGCACCATGGGACACTCGGCTGCTTCAGTGTTTCTCTTACGCTGTGGCTGGAGGGCCAGCTGTATTCTCTGCGGTGGGTGGGTGGGGGTGGAAAGCGAGCCAGCTGCACACTCTGTGACCAGTGGCCAATGGAACGTACCCAGCCTCCTGTGCCTCTCACTGCTGTGGCAGCCCCGACTCAGCTGGAGCACCTGCTCCCTGAGGCGAGCGGTAACTGGGCTTCCTGATGCTCCTGTTGGCCCTTTGTTTTGGGAGAAGCTGGGCCGGTCCAGGGGGATAGGAAGGACTCAAGAAGAAACACACAAATAAAAAAACAAAACAAAATATTTCTGATATATTTGTTTTAAAATAAAAAAATAACTGAAAAGTCAGGATGAGAGAAAATAGCACTTGTGCATAAGTTCATAGAGCAATGATGCTTTACTGGACTAACAAAGAAAGAACTGAGGCCAGGCGTGGTGGCTTATGCCTGTAATCCCAGCACTTTGGGAGGCCGAGGTGGGTGAATCACGACGTCAGGAGATCGAGACCATCCTGGCTAACACGGTGAAACCCTGTCTCTATTAAAAATACAAAAAATTAGCTGGGCATGGTGGCAGGTGCCTATAGTCCCAGCTACTCGGGAGGCTGAGGCAGGAGAATGGTATGAACCCGGGAGGCAGAGCTTGCAGTGAGCCGAGATCGTGCCACTGCACTTCAGCCTGGGCAACAGAGCAAGACTCCAAAACCCTAAGCCACTCCTCTCATACTCCTGACAATTGATGAGGTTTAATAAAGTGATTTGGGAAAACATGATTTATCTTTGGATGGACCCTTTTCTTTAATTCCTTGGGACTGTTCTGAGCTGTTACCCTGAACACCACCTTTCCAGTCTCCATGCCTCCCTTGCTTTTCTTTGGTGAATTACCAAGACCGAGATGAGGATACCGTCAGCCTGCAGTATCCACCAGTTCCACATGTGCAGATTCAACCAGCCATGGATAGAAAATTTTTGAAGAATTAAAATTAAAAGTGACATACAACAATAAATAATACACATTGAACAAACAATACATATGGGTTGAGTATCCCTTTTCTGAAGCTGCTTGAGATTGGAAGTGTTTTAGATTTCGGATTTTTTTTTGGATTTTGCAATATTT